GAGAGAGAGAGAGAGAGAGAGAGAGCAATTGTTATGAACAAGGAAAGTTTGGAAAAGTTGTCCTCTTTCTGAGTATTTTTTCAACATAAACTTTATGATGCTCTTTTGTCCCAATCACAAAAAGACTTCTCGCTGTTTCTAGCATGTCATCCATTTTGTTGTCTGATCAGCAATTTTATGATTTATTTCTAGAGATTCGGCTTTATTGTATAGAGAATGCAAAATGAAGTTCAGTAATTAAATATGAAATACCTGACCAAACAGCTAAAATAAATGACAACTGGTTTGATGGTAGTTTCAACTAACCTGGTTGTTGGAATAAAACGAAGTCGTTCTTCGGCAAACGAGAGTCCATATCTGACAGAGTAGTGCCATCAATATAATGCAATAGGCATGACCTTGATGGTGGTTTATCAATTAGGAGTAAGTCATTGAACAGATATTGAAATTGGGAATTATATTTGCAATAATGAAGTGATTTCTTTACGTTCAGTTTGTTCAATATTAAGCCCTGAAAGCTAAATTGCTTTCTTTAATACAATGAATAAAAAATAACAAAATTAAAAAAGTAGTGCGGAGTATAAGTATCCTAACCTTGATCAGTTTGAACTAATCCATAGAATGATTACTTCATCAAACAGTTCTCAATCTCTGTTACTAACAATGAATTTGAAAGTGGATGGATGAAACCAAGACAGCTGGAAGCCGATTGTTTCTTGAAAGTAGTCTATTACTATTGATACCTTCTGTTTGTCGTACTCAAATGAATATGTGAAGAAGTTTGTAGCATATGCTATAACAAAAACATAGTATCTTCATGTTTAAAGAAAAAAAAGGAAACTAACGTTATAATTGCAAAACATTTGATGATTGCAACAGCACAATGCTTCAAAATGATCTGTTGTTAAGGGAGCCTTCATTAGACATATGTCCATCAGTGCTGCAAATTATTCTAAATTCGTTAACTTCTGATAGAATTGCATTTATTATAACAAATAAAGTAGATTTTAGATTTACTTTTCATTTGACAATCAGTATTTTCCAGCCTCACTCAAATCCTCGTCCCCATTAATTCAATGATAGTATCTATTTCTGACTCAACTTTTGAATTTAGTTCTGGTTTAAAATCGAGCTAAATTCAAAACTGTAACTGTCTTCATATACAATTATCCACTGTAATTTTGTATCCTATCTTCACTAATCAAAATGAAAAAATCCCTCTTAGTTCTGAACAGTCTAAATTAGACATCTTTTCAACAATATCAAAACCCACGTATTAACTGAATACATCGTGTTTTGACAATATCTGCCAGGCGAATATCCCAATTTGCATAATAATGACATCCAACGTCCGTTCCATCCGCAAGAATACTATAACCAGGTTTGTTGGTTCGAAATTCATCTTTCGATATGTAGTACTTATACTGCATGTTTGAAATTTCCAGATACAATGGGCAATACTACAGATAAAATAAGTTCAAAGTAAGGCACTGCTTTTTTGAGAGAGTTTCATATATATATATATATATATATATATATATATATTCGTACCTA